TAAGGCACTTGACTGCTAACCAGGAGGCTGGTGGTTCAAACCCACCAGCCACTCCTCGGAAGGAAGGTTGGGCAATCCTACTTCTGTAGTGATAACTGCCTCGGAAACCCAAGGAGGGGTCGCTAGGAGTTGGGGCCGACTCGATGGCAAATAACAACATAACAAATAACATAAACCTTGTGGATGAGAATGTTAATGAGACACCTGCAATTAGAGACTGCACAGCAAAGATACATCCAGTATGGAGAGACAAGCAAATCAAGACAAATGTATCAGAAATCACTATTTTGATTCCAACTTTTTATATTATTTTAAAATTTTTATATTGATATTTAAATATATAAATCATTTGTTGCTTTCCTACTTCATCGATCTAAACATAAATCATTTAAATACATACTGAATTTAATCACAACTTTTTTTCCACAGACATCTAAGAGTTGATTCTTCCATAAAAATGAGAAATCACACAATGGTGACTGAATTCATCCTGATTGGGATCCCTGAGACAAAGGGACTAGAGACAGTTCTTTTTTTCCTGTTCTCATCATTATATTTATGTACCCTCTTGGGAAATGTACTCATCCTTACAGCTATCCTCTCTTCTTCTCAGCTTCACACTCCTATGTATTTTTTCTTGGGAAACCTCTCCATGTTTGACCTGGGATTCTCCTCAACCACTGCTCCCAAGATGCTGTTATACCTCTCAGGGTGGAGCCACATTATCTCTTTTCAGGGCTGTGCATCCCAGCTCTTCTTCTACCACTTCTTGGGGTGCACTGAGTGTTTCCTATACACTGTGATGGCCTATGACCGTTTTGTGGCCATATATTACCCTTTGAGATACATGGTCATCATGAACCACAGAGTCTGCTCTGTCTTGGCCACAGGGACCTGGCTGGGTGGCTGCATCCATGCCATCATCTTAACCTCCCTCACCTTCCAGTTATCATACCGTGGCTCTAATGAGGTTAGCTACTACTTCTGTGACATGCCTGCAGTCTTACTGCTGGCCTGTGAAGATACATCTCTAGCCCAGAGGGTAGGTTTTATAAATGTTGGTCTTTTGTCTCTCATATGTTTTTTCCTTATCCTTGTTTCCTACACTCACATTGGAATTTCTATATCAAACATTCGCTCAGCAGAGGGCAAGCAGCGAGCATTCTCCACCTGCAGTGCCCACATCACTGCCATTCTTTGTGCCTATGGGCCAGTCATCATCATCTATCTACAGCCCAATCCTAGTCCCATGCTTGGTGTTATAATTCAGATACTGAATAATCTTGTAACCCCCATGTTGAATCCACTGATCTATAGTCTAAGGAATAAGGATGTAAAATCAGCCCTGAGGAATATATTTTCCAAGAGAAGTTTACCCTAGAGAATAAATGAGAAAAACATAAGCTTTGCTGGACAGTTTGATTCTCAATTTCTGAGAACAAATTCTTATCTGGAGATCCCAAGGCATATTGAAATGAAATGTTCCCTAAATCAATCTACCACTTACATTTGTTAAGTTTTAAAATGTACGTCTGTTTGTACATCATCCTAAGTTTCATCATGAAAAATAATTTATAGGGTCACTTGGCAGTTACTGAATTGATTCTTGTGTATGTATCGTCTCCCATCACCACCATCCCCCAAACATATTCCTAGAAATCCAGTTGCCACTAATCCAAATTCAAGCAATTTAGTGACACTGAAGGTCTGTCCAGATAAGGAACAACTGGATTGAAAAATTAAATATGTCAAATATTAGAGATAAAATGTAAATAAAATTTCAATTTTACTTTATGTCTTTAATGCACACAACAAATAATTTAATAACTATCCATTAGAGCAAGGTAATTATAATTTTAAATGTTCTGATCAATGACAAACAGTGCTGTCACTTGTTTTGATACTTAATCACCTTTTTCTTCTAGACTCCAGGGACTCATACTAATTGCTTCCTATCTTTCTAAATGTAAACACCTAGGAGCTCTGGTAGCATAGTGGCTAAGACCCTTGACTGCTAACCAGAAGGCTGGCAGTACAAACCCACCAGCCACTCCTCGGAAGGAAGATGGGGCAATCTACTTCCAGAGTGATACTGCTTCGGAAACCCAAGGAGGGGTCACTGTGAGTCGGGTCCGACTCCACGGCACATAACAACAACAACATGCTTTCTTCCTGTACTCTGAACGTTGGCAGGCAAAGCCTAAAGTAAACAATCCTCACAACCTCCACTTTTCTGTTCATTAATCTCTCTCTCTCTCTCTCACACACACACACACACACACACACACTTTTTGCTTTAAGCATTCTACCACCTGTCACTACAAAGAAACAGATGGGGATATTAAACATTAATAAATACTTATAAAGTTAAATGGTTTAGACAGTCTCACCAAATCTTACCCTAAAAATTGTTCTATAATATACATTAAAGTATAATACCATTTGATCCTGTTTTCCTTATCTCTCTCAACTTCTGCCCCTTCCATCCAAGGATTAGGTTTGGAGGCTAATAGCTTGGACTCAGAAATTTCTTTCATTAATAATGGCACAACCAAAACTAGAATTCAAGTCTTCTGATTTGTGCTGTAGTTGTCTTTGTGCTCCACAAATTTATAATGCCCACTGAGAAAATTATGGATGAACTTGGTGCTGTAAACTGATTATTGTCCAGAAAAGTCATCATAAAAATGAAAGTATTAAAGAAAAAATATTTCACCATTTTGTTGGAGAAGAGCTGTATCTATTGAATTGTATGTTTTTTATTGCTCATAACCTGTAATATATGAAAGCTTTTAAATGTCAAAATATATGTAACACAAAATAATCATTTTATAAATAATTGATAGATTTTTTCTAATGAATCATTCCTAAAAATGTATCAAGTTAAGTTTTCTTTTTACTTAGACATAATTTCAGACTTAAGGAAAATTTGCAAAGTAGTTCAAAAAAGCCATATATATACCTTTTGCTCAGATTCTCAAAATAGTAACATTATATTATATAGACTTTTTCTCACTCTTTGCCATTTTTTTTCTATATGATGAGTTGTACCCATAATGCTACTTTTTCTCTATATACCTTACTTGGAGTGTGTTTCTGAAACAAAGACAACCATACAAATGCTAAAATCAGAAAACAGACGTATACTAAGTTCTCAAAAATTTATTTTAGACTCTGTAATCATGTTCTCTGGTCTCAGTACTTTCCAGAGCCCATATAGAATCAGAAAAGGAATCAGCTTTCTAGAATCCTTGGGGAATCATAAGAAGAATTCCCTGTCCATCTCACTAAATACTTGGTCTTAATCTACAATGCACTCTTCCACCATCCGGTGCTGTTTGGAATTACCCATTTTCTACATAATGAAATTGCCCTGTATTCTATACTAGCCAGAAGCTCTAAGACAATTAAACACAGACTAATGCAGAAGGCTCCTAAACCATGAGGGTTTTGCCCATTAACATCTTAATATTAAATCCTTATCAATTTTCTTAAGTTGCCACTTTTGAGCACATGACATAAAATAACTTTGTCTAAAATCCACCTAAGTGGGCAAGGAATAGTTAAATTGCAAACCTCTAGCCTAACTATTTGGTTATAGTCATAGGGAATGGATGCTGAGTACTGTGTAATACTGTGACATACAACCAACTGTTGGGCAAATCCTTTCTGTGCAGTAAAGGAGATTTTTGGCCTGGGGAATGCCAGACCATCAACATTGCTTGTTGTTATTGTTAGCTGGCCTGAAACTGGAGCTGATTCATGGAAATCCCATGCACAACAGAACAAAACACTGCCCAGTCTTGCACCAACCCCATATTCAGGTGTAGATTAGATGACTGTGTCCCATAGGGTTTTCATGGCTGTGACCTTCAGAAATAGATCACCAGACCTTTCTTCTAAGGCATCTGTGGATGGATTCAAACCACCAACTTTCAGTTAGTAGCCCAGCATTGAACTTTTTTTTGGGGGGGTGGGAGGAGGCACTAGGGAGTTATAAGTATGGTATACCCAGACAATAAAAGTTCTAAAGACCATTTAAATCATAATTGGTGTGACAGAATCACAAGAATCAAAAGAATTGGAGAGTAACAGGCTAAACATACGCATACGTATTTTTATTCATTACATATTTATTGATCTCATATTATGTTCAATGGTTAGGAGCAAGGGTACAGATGTAAATAAAATGAACATAGACCCTATCTTTAAGAACTAGCATTAAAGAAGAAGTGAGCTTTAAATAAACCCTGGAGACTATGATTGTCATCACTACAAATTCCTGAATATTACAAATTATAGGAATATATTAAATTTTCCTACCAAACAGAGGAAGATCTATGGATGGATTCTTCTTTAACATATGCAAGCCTACTACTATGGTACATCTCTCAATGGAATATTTCTCCCAATTGAATTTTAAATTCAAATTCAGACTTCATGGGTTCCAGGTAACAGAGACTGACTGGCATCTTTACAGGCTGACATCGAGATTTTCTCCTTCCTCTCATGTTTTCTCTGTCCATACTCCCAACTCTAGAAACCTCTAGGTCCCCATATTGTTTTTTATGCCAATAATGATTGGGTTGAAATTGTATCATATACTGGATCCTGGAGATGCTATTTTCCTTGAAATGTTGATGTATAGCTAAGAATATGCCTTTGCTTTTAATATTTTAGGTATGGAACAAGGAGCCCTGGTGGCACATGATTAAGCACATGGTTGTTAATTGAAAGGTTGGCTGCTCCATGGGAGAAAGATATAGAAGTCTGCTTCTGTAAAGATTACAGCCTTGGAAACCCTATCGGGCAGCTCTCCTGTGTCTTATATGGTCATTGTGAGTAGGAATAAACTCAGCAGCAATGGATTTGTTTTGTGATATCTTAGAAAAAGATGAATATGAAATTAAGAAGGCAAAATTTTGGACTCGATTTCTTTGGCCTTGAATGTACAATAAAACAGTATTCATATTTTTTTCTGCAAATTTAGTAACAAAAAATATTCAGAATTGATAATCATATGCAATTTAATTTTGTTAACATTATATCATTTAGCATATTTTAACACTGTTGTGACTGGTCCTGTTATAGCTTGTTCTGTTGAGTTATATTGAATACCATGGCTAGACATAATTTGTTATGAGGAGTATGAGATTAGAGAAATGCATTTTTGGCTGAGAGTAAGTAAGACCTTCACCTTAAATCAATGTATGTTCTCTTCTGAGGAGAGCAAAGCAGGACTGCCTACTTCTCTTCCATGATTTCAAATCTATACAGCTCTCTCCCAGTTGCCTGGCAACCAGCAGGCCAAAGTCAGTGTCTCACTCTCCCCCCAGAAGCAGGAAGAATGGAGCAAATCCAGATTTTACTGCTTCCAAGGTTTTAGGGGGAGAGAAACAGGATATACTATTGCATTCTTAATGGAGATTTGTCAGTAATAAAAGTAAATCATATTTTGATCCTCAATTGAATCTTTATATTTGCTTCTCAATTGTTAGTACTCAGATGCTGAAGTGGCAGAAAATGATTTCTGTTGTTGTTGTTATGTGCTGTCAAGTCAGACCCAACTCATAGCGACCCCTCCTTGGGTTTCCGAGGCAGCATTACTACAGAAGTAGATTGCCCCATCTTCCTTCCGAGGAGTGGCTGGTGAGTTTGAACTGCCAACCTTCTGGTTAGCAGTCAAGTGCCTTAGGTACTATGCTACCAGAGCTCCTAGAAAATGATTAGGCTCCCTCAATGTACAATATTACATTATTCTACCTTCAGCTTATGGTATTTCACACAGGTAAAGTTACTCACAAGTGAATGGAAGGGTTTATGAAGTACAATTCAATAACTTTACTTACAATTCTTCCTAACCTCAGCCTAATGTGTATAAAGAAATGTCACAAATACTCACCTAGTATATACATCATGCTAAATTTTATGCTGAACACATGACAAAGAGAGTAATTCTCCATTAATCATCAGACCCTCTTTAAGTGATTGAAGCTATTGCTGAAGAGAAATTAACCTCTTCCTTCCTCCTCAACATCTTTTGAACAATGACACTACAACATGCTCAATCAAGGACTAAGGGTGTGTCTTTAATTTTCACCCTCCCACTTAGCATGTCATCCATTAAGTCCCATCTAGACATGTCATAAGGAAAGATCAATTGCTAGAAAAGGACATTCTGTTTAGTAAAGTAGCTGATCAGCAAAAATGAAGGAAACCCTCAGTATGATGGGTTAACACAAGAGCTGCAACAATGGACTCAAACATAGTATCAAAGATCATGGAGCTGGGGCAGGCATGGGCAATGTTTCATTCTGTTATATAAGGTCACCATGAATCAGAGCTGGCTCGACAACTAACAACAACAACAAACTCTATTTC